TCAGGAAATATATTTTCCTAAAGCCAACAAGTCTAAGTTATTAAAAAAAAATGTTTATATTGAGTTACATGGCCCGGACAGCATCAAATAGGGACAAGCGTCCCCTGCGCAGAATTAGGCAGGATTCTTTGCTACAACGCCAAAACTGCACGCTTTGGAATTCCCTGCTTGCTGCCACAAATTAAGAGATTTCGCTTTGTTAAACGGCACGGTGGATAAACGTATAAAGCCAACAATATAAGTTTTGTTGAGGAAAAGAGTGGTTGCTTTGCTATTTTTAAGCTACTTGGTTGCAAAGCCTTATCTGCGCAGAAATAGGAGGATCGAGGATACGAGTACAGAAGCATAGATCATTTTCTTTCCTTGTTATATGAATTATTTCCCCCTTTAAGTTTAACCGCAATACATTCCATAATCCATTTAACATAATTATGCCATGGCATGCAATTTTTGTTAAGATTGCGCAAAATTCATAAATTGCGCAAGTGATATTCCCACGCAATCTTAAGAATGAGCGCTCATTCTTCAGATTGTGTGCTCATTCTTAAGAATGCGCGCTCGTTTTTAAGAATGCGCGCTCATTCTTAAGATTGCGTGATTTGCGAGAAAGCGCACAACATCACGACAATCGCGTTAGTGAGAGAGACGGTCGTGAAATATGACTAGTATTTCTCCATGGTATGACTCTAGCTCTACTGAGTTGAGCGTTGAATTACGGGTACCCCTCCATACAAAATGCTCCACTGATTTGGCATACTTTGGTGACGGCGTCACAGTAGCAAAGTGTACATACCCACGCGAGGACAAAAAGACCCCCAAAAAACCGGTAAAGAGAATACAAATGAGAGAGACAGTTACCCTGGATTGATCTACACATTCATGACATTCCATCAGACCCCTTACATTGTTCCCAAACAGCGAAAATTTTGAAGAAAAACAGCAAAATAGTCTGAAAACTTACAGCTCCATGTGTTCGCCGTGAGGCTCAATCCTTACACCGGTTTGCCGAATGAGGGCGTCTGACGTGACGTCACCGTCATTGCTCGATCGAAGAAAATCAAGTCGCACTTTATCAACGACTGTTTCGTGTAATAATACGTGCTCCGATCCGCGCCGTACGACAGTATGGGCTTTTGAACACACGCAAGGTGGAGACGGCTGAAACGTATTTTAATAACAATGGGATTTTCTTTTGTCAGTAGGCCTATTAGTAGTTCTTTGATAAGGGAATAAATGTGTGCTCCGGAGGTTTTTATCACTCGTTTAATACCGCATAGAGTCGTTTTTTTGCTTTAGAAGCATTCTCACCCTCTATATAGGCTTATCAGAAAGTGCTGCCTTTTTCAGATGTCCATTTTTCGTGAAATTTCCAGATACATTTGCACACGTTTGCGTATCAAAATTTCAACATGAAATTTCACAAAAATTAGACATCTGAAAAAGGCAGCACTTTCTGATTAGCCTATATAGAGGGTGAGAATGCTTCTAAAGCAAAAAAAACCTACAAAGTAAGCCTAAATGGGAAAATCAAAATTTGGCAAAGTCGACACGTTTTTGTACATGTGGATGTGTGGCCTATGTTTACGGAGGCAGTCCAGTAAATAGGCCACATTTATAGGGCTAGTCTAGCCCAGGTTGGACGAAGTCTTCATTGCAATACGACTAACGTCCAGGACAAGACTTTTCTACATGAAACCATACAACATTTTTACCAGAGTTTTGTTATGTTTTACCTCGTTATAGAAGCTAATATTTCACGCCTACATACTCTATGTGTCCTTATCTGTTAGCACGCTGGGTTCAGGAATTCCATATGCGATGCTGACTGACGTTAATCAGGAAAATAAACTCCAAAGCAACGTTAAACTTGTACGTGTTTGTAGTCGCTTTTCATCAGTTTATTCCCAGAGTCGTACGTCATGTACAATGTACATGATATGTACAAATGTACGTGCGTACAATCCGAAAGCGCGCACGCACGCTAAGCGCCCTCATTTGTTTAGTTTTGGTTGGAACCGTGACGTCACTCCAGCCAACCGATGTCAGGAAAACGCTCAACCAATGACCAAAGCCGAAACGTGTTTCTGGTAACTGGCGCGAAAACACGCTCGGTCATTGGATTAGCGACCGCACCTTCAAGTAAGTGCGCGTGCGTATGAGGGTGGTTACTAAGCAAATCGCGCGTGCGCACTGCATATTCATGCAGCATAGTCTGTCCCCCGGACCAGATGTGATTAATGAGCGTCGAGAATAATTGTCCGGTCTAGGGAACCAGACTACACGCTGCACCGTACAGACGTACATGATGTACGACTAGAATAGACTCGGCGGTGAGAAACTGATGAAAAGAGACTAAACACGTACAAGTTTAACGATGCTTTCGAGTTTATTTTCCTGATTGACGTCAGTCAGCATCGCATATGGAATTCCTGAACCCAGCGTACTAACAGATAAGGACACATAGAATACTACGACGTAAAAATTAGCTTCTCCAACAAGGTAAAAATATTGAAATTATTGGTCAGAAATGTTTTCGTTCGGTTGTGAGCACATGTGTACTCAGGACTCCCTCCGTATCGTAGGGAGGAAAGGGAGTCCACCAGGGCTAAGGGCTAGTCATGACTTAGCCCGACTGCGTCTGGCCGTACAGTACTATCGCAAGCTCTGTAGTACGGCCAGACGCCCGATGCTTCCACAGAGACTGAATTTTGTTGGCCGCCGATGTAGCGATTTTGCTACATCTTTCGATCGCGATTATCTTTTCATCCAGGACACAAATTTCCAAAGTTAAGGTTCGTAGTTGTAGAGCAACTCATACCTTTTCGAAAAAAACGTTCTTTGGTCTCAATATTTTCATCCATCTGGCCACAAGACGAATTTCAGTCATCAGATTCCACAAATATCGTCCCCCATGCAATCTCCCATGCGATTTCAAAATGGCGGCCGCGCTGTAATGTATGCAATATGCAGGCACGCCCGCGCAAATCATGAATATGCATAAACAGTCTGTGACGTATGACCGTACGGCCCCGCCGCACGCCCGTCCAAAAACACGAGGTATACGTCACAGACTGTTTATGCATATTCATGAGTTTGCGCGGGCGCGCCTGCATATTGCATACATTACAGCGCGGCCGCCATTTTGAAATCGCATGGGGATCGCATGGGGGACGATATTTGTGGAATCTGATGACTGAAATTCGTCTTGTGGCCAGATGGATGAAAATATAGAGACCAAAGAAGGTTTTTTCGAAAAGGTATAAGTTGCTCTACGACTACGAACCTTAACTTTGGAAATTTGTGTCCTGGATGAAAAGATAATCGCGATCGAAAGATGTAGCAAAATCGCTACATCGGCGGCCAACAAAATTCAGTCTCTGTGGAAGCATCGGGCGTCTGGCCGTACTACAGAGCTTGCGATAGTACTGTACGGCCAGACGCAGTCGGGCTAGTCATGACTTAGCCCCATAAATGTGGCCTATTTACTGGACTGCCTCCGTAAACATAGGCCACACATCCACATGTACAAAAATCGTGTCGACGGAGCCAAATTTTGATTTTCACATTGAGGCTTAGTTTGTAGGTTTTTTTGCTTTAGAAGCATTACTCACCCTCTTTACAGGCTAATCAGAAAGTGCTGCCTTTTTCAGATGTCTAATTTTTGTGAAATTTCATGTTGAAATTTTGATACGCAAACGTGTAAAAATGAATCTGGAAATTTCACGAAAAATATACATCTGAAAAAGGCAGCACTTTCTGATTAGCCTATAAAGAGGGTGAGTATGCTTCTAAAGCAAAAAAACCCTACAAACTAAGCCTAAATGTGAAAATCAAAATTTTGCTCCGTCGACACGATATTTGTACATGTGGATGTGTGGCCTATGTTTACGGAGGCAGTCCAGTAAATAGGCCACATTTATGGGGCTAGTCTGTAGTCATGACTGTACTTAACTGATTGATAACTGTTACTACAGTCATTTTCCTAGTTCCGGATAGCAAACATCATTCAGGCTACTTTCGGCTCAACTACTCCACGAATTCAAGTGACATTGGTTTAAAAGTTTACCTTGAGTGATGGAGATACTACAAAATAATTTTCAAAATTTATGCTCTTTTTATTGTGACTTTACGACGTCAAAAGTACCGATGCCGCTTTTCCTAGTTCCGGATCGGTTTAATCAGTTCCGAATCGATCAAAAACTGATTCGTGCGAGAAAAAAAAATCACGCGAGAAAATCAAGTTTTCAGCCAGAACCACCCCGAATCAAGCACATTTTCTGATAAAGTATTATTTAAATTTCCAAAATAGTTCATTCAAGAGAATTCCAGCAAATTTTCAAAAGACAATTAACGTAAATAATTTTGAAACTTTTGTCTGCAGCGCAACGGCACGAACTCACGCACGGACCGAAAACCTTGCACACGGCACAGAATACGTCACACAAAATTGATTAACGCGCGTGTAGTTGGGTCGTAAGTGCACGCGCGATCCGGAACTAGGCAAAAGCATACGGTCATTCGTTCGCAAATTTTCAAATATTAGAGACGCTACAACTTACTTTGATTGAACAAACATTTGATGGAAGAGTTTATACAATTGTAGTGAATGAAAAAAATATTCAAAACCACACGGTACGAGAGATATACCGAGGAGAAAATTTATCGTCGATTCGCAGCTGCCGTGATTTTCTTTAAACCGTCCAAACATGTCGAAGTGCGAGTCGGAAATCTGGCCAAAAATGCCTTTTCTCAGGATTTTATCGAAATGATCTTTGGGTATCAAGAAGCTTACATATTCCTTTTCAAAATGCACTCCGTCAGATTTTTTTTTATTGGAGACTAATCCAAAAGAGGTAGGTTTTTATTTGAAGCGATCCGGAACTAGGAAAAATCCGGAACTAGGAAAACGACTGTAGTGTTACTGAGTGTTAGACTTTGTACACAACCGCTGAAATGGCGTCAGGCTGCAACATTTTTTTTCACAGTCCGTTAAGAATTACCTTCAGATTGATCCATACGTAATACAGAGCAGAATAATGTTTTCCTCATGTAGTTTGGTCGGCGATGACGGGACTCAAAATTCTCGAACAGTTACCGCCATCTTGTTTTGGAATCATGTTGCTATGGGTATAGTCTAGTTCCTGGTATTCGTGTAATGTATGCTCTTGCTAATCAACGCGCTACATGCGCTACTTACAGCAGGCATACAGCCTATCTGTATCTGTATCTGTATGCTACGGTCCTACTAAAGCGCGTCAACAAGCGTCAACAAGCGTCAACAAGCGTCAACAAGTTTTAGTAGTCGTTAAGTGCGCGTCAACATTTTTTTATAGGCTTTTGAACAATAAAAACAGCTTTATATGGTAGAAAAAGCAATAATGAACATCTTCTGCATATCAATTAAAGTTAAAATTACTTAAAAAGTGGTTTTCCAGCGCGAAATCTACGACGGGTTTTCGGTTTAGTATTGGCCGCCATCTTGTTTGAGATCTACATACTACGCACTAGCGGGATGCCGCGCTTCGCGCGGCACCCGCTAGATGGGTGGAGTTGACTGTTTCGTAATAATTACTGTATACAGTGAAATCTCGATAATAACCCCAATAACTCCAAACAACTGTTAAGTCAAATAAAGAATCAGACGCTCTGCTGCACGCGAGCCTATTTGGGCTCGCCATCAGTCTCACCTAAGTTGTATTTGCGTTTAGCAACGTGCGCGCACATAACATTTCCTGTGGAGATTGTGCGAGGGTCCAGGACATATTGTCAATATAGGGGAGGGGCTAGTTAGGGTGAAAGGTGCTAGTCGGAACGCCCAATTTCCGTACAACCCGTCAACCATGTCACAAATATTTCCGGGGATGGGGAGAAATATTTCCAGGGACGGGGAGAAATGGTTTTTGTTATAGAGGGGAGATGGTGATATTGAAATCGCTGATATTGTGGAGGTTTATGTTTGTGCTGGGATTCATACCGTTTAAATGTTGTTTTAAATTGCGCACCGATTAGGAAGGTCTTGCTGTCAACAGTTGAATGAAATTAAGTATTTATTGCCGACCGATTGTCTCATGCAATGTCTCATTACATGTATATAAAGCTCATAACTAATGTTGTGCTGGAATATTGTCCAGTCAAATTGAACATTGATTTTTCAAGGTGCCAAACCATAAAGGACGTATACACCAACTGTACAATTAGGTAGTTTAGATGAAACGCGGTTTGATCTTGACCTTTACAACGTCGTATTCATAGTTCTCACTACAGAGGAGAGGAGTGGGAAGCCAGTGGGGATGGGGGTTGGATATTGTGTGGCCTATTTACATGGGCGTCGCCAGGATTTGTTTTCTAGAGGGGGCAAAACATATTTTTGCCAAAAAAATGCCTGTTTTTCTCAACACATTCTTTATTTAACAGTTTTAGAGAAGGGCAGGGACATTTAGCCCCCCAACTCATTAAATTTAAAATTGAACTCATTTTTTTCCCCTTCTTTTTTTTTTTTTTTGCTTTCGGGGGGGGGGGGGGGGGGGGGGGGGGGGGGGGGGGGGCAAGTGCCCCCCTTGCCCCCCCCCCCCCCCCTTGCGACGCCCATGCCTACTTATGTTACACCTGTGAATGGTCACTTATATTTCCGGGGAAGTGGGCAACAATTTATATTCGTTATGGTGAAGGGGTGTTTTTTATGTATTAAGTAGTAGTTAATGTCATTATAACAGTTCGTGTTTTTATTATGGTGATGGGTTGTAGAGCAAAGTATTGTAACACGTTTATTTGCAGAAGAGAGTAAAACTATAAGAAAGGACATATTAGAGCACTTCATAATTATGTCAAGCACCACATGTTAAATGTATTTATTACAAAACTGTGAAAATGAAATCAGGTACAATGCACACACAAATTTTTTAGTAATAATGTATTTGCATTCAATACAGGGTAGTACTTTGACAAAACTCAGGGGATATAATTGTAGCAAATTTTCGGAGCGATTTCGTAAGGGACGTCGGTCCAGGCTTGTTTAGCATAGGCAAAAACATTCCATGAAAGACTTTCAAGCGAGACGGGTAATCATTCCATAATTATTCTTGGATACAACTAAGCCAAGGATATAACTTTAAAAAAGGATGGACATAAAACAGCAGAAAAGAGTGATTATTTTTGCACTATTTCATTTTCATGACTTCTAAATAATAAAATTATGGCTAGAAGAAAAATGTGTTTTGAATGGGTAAAGAGAAAAAGCACGTCACGTCTTCGTCTTGAGTCGAGATTCTTGCTTTGGGAACTGGTTGAAGCATGCACTGGAGCATGCTTGGAGCATGGTTGGAGCTGGTCATGTGATGTGGGTGTCATCGGGAGTCCTGTGTAAAGGAGTAACAAAGAAAACTTGTAAAAAAATACATCGGCTAACAATAGCTACAAATAAATTGTTCCTGCGCGGTTTGTGCCTTACGATTCTGCGCGCCGTGCGTGCTCACGGGTGTCGGACGCTTCGCCCCATTTCCACGTCGCCCCATGTCACTTCGCCCCTAACCACTTCGCCCCATCCCCACTTCGCCCCATCCCCACATCGCCCCATCTCCGCTTCGCCCCATCCCCACTTCGCCCCATCCCCGCTTCGCCCCATCCCCACTTCGCCCCATCCCCACTTCGCCCCATGTAGTATAAAAAAGGGAAGGCTAGGGGTGCAGACCAAATAAACTGCCAAAGACCCCAGATAATAAATGCTCCCAATTCTAGAATTCTAGATGTGCTCACAGCACATCGCGCAGAAATCGCCATCTTTATTTTCGGGTTGCGTGTTTTCGCTGTGCTGTCATCGTAATTCCCCCCCCCCCCCCCCCCCCCCCCAAATTTCTCTAAAAAAAAAATCAAAACCCGGCCCTCTATCTATGACATACCTGTTTATTGAGAATGTCTCCAACTATTTTGGTCGGGCTTTTTTAAAGTGGATTTTGTTCCCTATAGGAACCGGGCCCTTCTACTAAATACTACACGATCGCCATGTCCGAGGCCCACGCGATTGGGTCACACTTTTCACAAACAACAATTGTCATTGCCAGCAGTGGTGTTCGAAAGAATACTTATATTATAATCCTTTGCTAGTCCGAGTAACTTGGACCCAACTTATCGCCTTTTTAAAAATTTGGACATGGTCTGGCGATAGTAGGGTCCAAGCCCATTCCTCGACCTAGACAACACAGTCACTGACAGTCCCAAAAACCAACATTTTCCAACAAAAAACATCAGATTTCACCTTCAAAACGGCCTCCAAATTACTAGATATGCCACCTGAGGTACAAGTAGACATCGATAATTAAGATAGTTGTACTGAAGTTTACTTACGATCCGGAAAAAAGTGAAATTTTCCGTTCATTTCGGAGAGCTCCCCTCGCGATCTTGAACACGTTAAATTTGCGATCGTGTTAAAGTTTGAACGACGCGATTTCTTCTACATGCCCAGCGTACATTCGATGGTCCCCGTATCCCGAGTGCGATTCCGTTACCGAGCGCGCGCGATGCATCGATTATGATAATGAGTAGACTGGATCACGTTTGTAAACACATGTGCATTTCAAACGATAATAGGGAGTCGGGAACTAGCGCAGCTTTTATAGCGGGTACCAGTTCAAGCTGGTTCCCGATTCCCTTTTACAGTTCGAAATGCACATGTATGTGTTTACAAACGTGATCATTATCATAATCGATGCATCGCGCGCGCTCGGTAACGGAATCGCATACGGGATACGGGGACCATCGAATGTACGCTGGGCATGTAGAAGAAATCGCGTCGTTCAAACTTTAAACACGATCGCAAATTTAACGTGTTCAAGATCGCGAGGGGAGCTCTCCGAAATGAACGGAAAATTTCACTTTTTTCCGGATCGTAAGTAAACTTCAGTACAACTATCTTAATTATCGATGTCTACTTGTACCTCAGGTGGCATATCTAGTAATTTGGAGGCCGTTTTGAAGGTGAAATCTGATGTTTTTTGTTGGAAAATGTTGGTTTTTGGGACTGTCAGTGACTGTGTTGTCTAGGTCGAGGAATGGGCTTGGACCCTACTATCGCCAGACCATGTCCAAATTTTTAAAAAGGCGATAAGTTGGGTCCAAGTTACTCGGACTAATCCTTTGCCAGAGGTGTTCGAAAGAATTACTACTAACTATAATCTATAATGTGTCATAGCACAAACCGGACTTACCATTGAAAGAGAAAATTGTAGCATAATCAATGCATCAAACGACCATCAAACGAAGCTAGTAGTGCTGAGAAAATGTGGGGCAAGCATGCCTTCAGCTTTGCATGTTGCATGGAATACCGTTGCATGCGCTGCAGCGCATGCTCCTCTATACGAACGTATACGTATACGTGGCACCTCTATACGAACGTATACGTATACGTGGCACGACAGGTGTAGCGTGAATATCCGACTCCATGAAATGTGGACTCATTGGTAGTCCTGCGCACGCGTGAGTACGATACTGTGCTATTTTTAGGATCATTTTGGGAGAGTGACCTGTCACGTACGTGCGAGGGATCAACCAATAATAGGGAAATAGGGGTCCGATTTTCATAGGAGTCGAATTTTCACGTGACACCGGCCCGTACGCAAGATGGCGGCCGGCTCAATGGGGAAAGGAATTCTGGGAAATATGGGGCGAAAATAGCCGGGCCCCGTTCCGCATCCCCCGCAGCCAACAGGCGCGATGGGGACGGGAGACCGGTCGGAGACCGGTCGGGAAAATGGCAGCGCCCCCGAATCATTTTCGTGATTGTAGTATTTCGTGATTGTAGTATAGATGCATGGAGTGTACCATTCACACATAGGGGTTTCTTTATACTATACTATACGCTTTGTTTTTGCATTGGGATTTTTTGGCAGACATTGTGAACCGTGTCAGTCGGCATATTTTTCAAATAATTAGCCAAGTACCGTGACCAAGTTTTGCATAATTTATAATTGAAAAAAAAAAATAGTTTTCCTAATTTCTTAAAAAACGAGGTATCGCTAAGCGTATCGTATAAAGAAACCCCTATGCGTGAATGGTACACTCCACGCATGCGTAGTATGTAGATCTCAAACAAGCTGGCGGCCAATACTAAACGAAAAACTTGTCGTAGATTTCGCGCTGGAAAACCACTTTTTAAGTAATT